AGAAAGAACAGAGAAAATAAAAGTGACAGCAAGAATTCAACTTGACATTGAAGTATGAAAATGAACAAATATGAGAGCTCAAAACTGCAATATTGGGGTTCATTTGGTGAAGGCATTAATGTCTCTTCATTCCCTAAATGCTCTGAGGGCACTACAATATCCACTCTAAATTAGTGGATGTCCATAGTAATGTCAAAGAAGAGGTGGTAGATTTGAGAAAGATTTTTGTAAAAATATAATTTTAAAGGGAATTTTTATGTTTTGTTAAAAGATGAAATATAAATTCTTCAGGAAATTTGCCTGTTTAGAAAGACTTATTTTAAAGAATTGTCTGTGGTCAAGGTCTTATACTACTGAGACTATTTTAAGAGATACTTTGCAGATAAAATATGTTTGTGGAGCTGAAGATGGGTTCTTGGTTGAGAAAGGACAGTGTGGGGGGCAACATACTTTGAAAAAATGTCCTCTAGAATTTAAGAATTATTGGATAAAGTTTCTTAAAATGTGTTACAAATGAACCTATGCAGCATCTCAGGATCAAGCCACATGAAAAAGGTGTGTTCTACTAACATGATTTATATCTCAGCATTGCCAGTTACTCACAAATGAGTGCAAGATCAGAGTTTCATTCTTCTTGTAAAACCTTTAATAGTGGGTCAGGATGATCATCCTTGTGTATGAATTTATAGTAGTTCTACATAATTTGAGTTTTTACTTTAACCAATTATGATTTAGCATAAGTACTTAAAATATTTTTCATGCTTAATCAGTAGATGGTTAAGTATAACAGTATGTACAAGGCATTTTTCTGCAGGAAATAATAATTACTTTTTAAAACAAGTTACAGTCATATCCTTGAGTATGCCCATTAAGTATGCCCTTAACTATGCCCATCGAAAAGTCATGAGCATTCAAATTTATAAGGCATTTTATTAAAAACCTCACTTCAGCTTATGAGGCTATTTTTTTGTTTTTACAAAAAGTGATTTTGATTTTCCCTTCCAGAGCTTCCAGGAGAGAAACACAATATGGTCATCCTTGCAGTTGTATAGTTGGTACATCTAGCATTACATTTTCTTCTTAGCTCTTGGCTTAACAGTTTATGGCAGTGATAATCAAGTGCATCATATTGTTAGGTTGACTTGCTGGGTGATATATCACTTGCAATGCTTTACTTGTTTTTTCTTTCTTTGCATTAAAATTTTAATTACATGAATATAAGTCAAATTGCCAACTTCCAAGGATCATCAAAAAAGCAAGAGAGTTCCAGAAAAACATCTATTTCTGCTTTATTGACTATGCCAAAGCCTTTGACTGTGTGGATCACAATAAACTGTGGAAAATTCTGAAAGAGATGGGAATACCAGACCACCTGACCTGCCTCTTGAGAAACCTGTATGCAGGTCAGGAAGCAACAGTTAGAACTGGACATGGAACAACAGACTGGTTCCAAATAGGAAAAGGAGTACGTCAAGGCTGTATATTGTCACCCTGCTTATTTAACTTATATGCAGAGTACATCATGAGAAATGCTGGGCTGGAAGAAGCACAAGCTGGAATCAAGATTGCCGGGAGAAATATCAATAACCTCAGATATGCAGATGACACCACCCTTATGGCAGAAAGTGAAGAAGAACTAAAGAGCCTCTTGATGAAAGTGAAAGAGGAGAGTGAAAAAGTTGGCTTAAAGCTCAACATTCAGAAAACTAAGATCATGGCATCTGGTCCCATCACTTCATGGGAAATAGATGGGGAAACAGTGGAAACAGTGTCAGACTTTATTTTTGGGGGCTCCAAAATCACTGCAGATGGTGATTGCAGCCATGAAATTAAAAGACGCTTACTCCTTGGAAGGAAAGTTATGACCAACCTAGACAGCATATTAAAAAGCAGAGACATTACTTTGCCAACAAAGGTCCGTCTAGTCAAGGCTATGGTTTTTCCAGTGGTCATGTATGGATGTGAGAGTTGGACTATAAAGAAAGCTGAGTGCCGAAGAATTGATGATTTTGAACTGTGGTGTTGGAGAAGACTCTTGAGAGTCCCTTGGACTGCAAGGAGATCCAATCAGTCTATCCTGAAGGAGATCAGTCCTGGGTGTTCATTGGAAGGACTGATGTTGAAGTTGAAACTCCAATACTTTGGCCACCTGATGTGAAGAGCTGACTCGTTTGAAGAGACCCTGATGCTGGGAGGGATTGGGGGCAGGAGGAGAAGGGGACGACAGAGGATGAGATGGTTGGATGGCATCACCGACTTGATGGACATGAGTTTGAGTAAACTCCGGGAGTTGGTGATGGACAGGGAGGCCTGGCTGTGATTCATGGGATCGCAAAGAGTCGGACGCGACTGACCGGCTGAACTGAACTGAACTGAAATATCATATGTATGCTCTGTTTTGATTCTTAAGCTATGAAATAACAAGATCATGTAACTATGATCTTATAATTTATAAAGGACATTATAAAAGAAAAATTGTGTTAACTAGTTATAACTATTGAGGTTATCATCTCTATTTTTAAAAGAATGTAATATTGTTTAAGCATAAAGCATAAGTGAATATAAATTTAGAGGTTTGTAAATGCTTAAAGTCTTTTACCATTGAACCCACCTGAGAGATTTTTCAGAAAACTATATGTTGTTTTCTAGGTTTTATGCTCACTGGTCAATTTGAAAAATCCTCTGATCTAGTAAGTTTATAATTGATGGAGAAAATGTTGATCTCTCACTGAAGAATACACATAAATACTGACTGTTAGTACCTAGGACAGTAGTTGCAAGTGTCATTTTCTTGGAATTCATGAGTGAGTGGGAAATTAAATTACATATTATGTTCACAGTTCTTAGCAATTAAGGCATTCTTTACATCTTAAATCTGGGTATAACAATGTTTGCTAGAGTGTATATGTGCCAAACTTGCCATCAGCCTTTCTCAATTGGGGTTCTGGAAGGGGATTAAGCTCAAAAATCCTAGGTGGCTTTTGTTTTGATAAAACTTTTATGCACCTAAAATATAATCCAGATGATTCAGAGTTTATTCATATCAGTATTCTACATGTACTCTTCTAAGCATAATAATATAGGAACACTGGAAACTGTATTCAGCAATTCATTGTAGCTTAGGGCACTGGTCAGTGATGTCTTTTTCCTCTATGTTAGCAGCTTGTATGAAAATGAAATCCACAACCTTGACATACTCAGCGGGTGCTAAGCAACCCAACTAAGCAGGCAGTAATAAGGTCAGGTTATTCAATAAGATGCTATGACAGCAACCTTGGCTATCTAAATAAGCTTTCATAAATCCCTAAACCAGAGACCAATTTATGTGGTGACCAGTGAATATTCATAATCTCTTTAAGTAAGAACTGTCTTGAATGTGAGCTTTGTGTTAAGTCACTTCATTGTGATTTTGGAGGCCTAGCCCAGCTAGCTTCTGAGTTTGATCCTGCACTTGTGAACGCCCAGTCAGTTTCATGAGACATCTAGCTTCTGATGAGAGGTGATGGAAGAGAGAGAGGGAGTTTCTAGGCAACAGGTGGAGGCTAAGACAGTACCAAGGCACCATATGTACTTAAGTGTATTGCGCTTACCAGTCACTACTCTTCAGAAACTTGTAGGATGCACTGTAATAAATAAAACTACAGAGAAAAGCCATAAACCTAGAAAATACCTTCAGCAAGTTCATTTTCCTGGGATCCTATGTAGTGTTTTTAAAGTCTGGAGGAATATCAGGAATATAATGCTGTTTCTTTACTATGTGAGCTCATGTTTTTAGCAGATGAGTTTCCAAAAATATATCCTTGGTGGTGAATTCTCTATAAATTGGAGAACTGCTTTATTTCTCTGTGATTTTTTTTTTTTTTAGGTCCTCAGAGGTTGGATAAGCTATGTGAGAAGGAAGGCTCTACAATAGAGCATCTAATATAACCTGAGGAGAGTCACATTTCAACAACATGATGGCTTTTTATTCAGGAGAAGCATATTCAGGTTTTGCTTTTTGATCCTTTTGCTATTCCATACAAATGAACACTCGGAGTAGATTTTTTTCCACAAACATTTAGTCCTTCCTGTAGGCTAGGGATACTTTTTTTTCCCTTGATCATATTAGTTGTAGCGGAGAACTGAAAGCCTAGCTTAGATGTGCCAGGCATTGGCTGTACTTTCATCAAGACCAGAGAAACACTGATCATCCTGGGAATGGAGAATGTGTCCCTGTCTTTTAGAAGCTGTCTTCCACAATATTGTCACATGACCAAGAATAAGAATTAGATTATATATAGGAGTGAAAGAAATGAAGTCCATTAAAGGCCTATCAAGGAATAAATTTGCTGTTAAGGAGATTTAAACTCAATTTCTGGAATTTGGGAGTCTAGATTCTTGAGACATCCAAAAGAACTTATGGAGAAATCATGACCCACAGAACAAGACATAAGAGTTCGAGTTTAAGATTGCCTTGTTTTGCAAAGAAAACTTGGAACCCAATGTGACTCTCCTTGGGTACTCTTAGATGCTCTGTCATAGAGCCTTCCTTCTCATGTAGCTTATCCAACCTTTGATGATCTCAAAAACAAAACCACAAAGAAATAAAGCAGGTCTCTAGCTTATAGAAAATTCACCACCAAGAATATATATTTGGAAACTCATCTGCTAAACACATGAGCTCACATAGTAAAGAAACAGCACTATTTGGCACCCTGATATTTGGCTCCACGCAAAGAAAACTTGGGACCCATATTTGGGACCATGATAATTTGGGACTATGATAGTTTTTTTTTTTTAATCTATTGTTAAGTAAAGTTTGATTTCAAGAACACAGGAATGATATTATATTAAAAACTGATTAACATAAACCTTAATTGCTTTAACAGTGGTCAAAAGTAATAACCATTATCTACTAAATGATAATTAAAGAGAGCAGTATTGTTTTCAATTGCACAACAAAGAACCACACTCAAATTAAAAGATGAAAATTATTCTGGCCGGTACATAGAAAGACTTACCTGAAAATCTGAATGAAGAATAATCTATACATAAAGACCCAGTTTTGCCCTTTAGCTTCTGTCGTAAAATGCTTTCGATCTTATCTCGAAATTTTGCAGAAGTATTTGTATAATAAGATTTAAACTTAAGCACGGTGTGTATTATCACTTTTCCTTTGGCTCGGCTGCAAAACAGAAAAAGACAAAGAAATTATACTTTATTACGGAGTCTCTCTTTTTTAGTGGAGTTATTCTATTCTTTGGTTAGCAGAGTTCCTGGCAGTTTTCCAGTTTCTTTAAAGGGAGTGAAAATGGCACTTTTTGGCAATTTAGTGATTTAGACTCATGGGAACTGACTTTGTATTCTAGATCTATCGTTTGCCAGTTCATTGATTATAGCAAGGAGTACTGTACTCCATACTGTTCATCTCTATAATGTGTGCATGCTCAGTCGCTCAGTTGTGTTGGACTCTTTGTGATCCCATGGACAGTAGCCTGCCTGGCTCTGCTGTCCATGGAATTTTCCAGGCAAGAATACTGGAGTGGGTTGCTGTTTCCTTCTCCATTTCTCTAATGGTGATGATAATTTCATTTACTGGGTTATTGTAAACATCACATAAGATAATGTATATGGAGGTGTTTTGAAAAATCTCAGAATGTTATGGGACAATTATTTACTAACATAAATGTATCTATGTTTCATAAATGCACTATGGACCTTGTAGGAAGAGCCAATAGCAAATAATGAAATGAAATGTAACAGGTAAAGATGAGAGAATCATTTATAGTTTTTTTTTTTTCTTTATTGGTGGAGGCACAATTGCAAGACTGGGTCAAGTTCTCTTCCTGTGAATATGTGAAAAGCTTACTTTTCTTTGGGCAAAGCCAATCACAAACACAGATGGCCTGAGGTCTCTTTCTCACCCCATCCTTTAAAAACCCTATGGTGCTTTGTTTCAGGGAAGTTAAAACAGTTCTGGCTTCTCTTCTCTGTTGCAAAAAACTTGAACATTGTCTTCCCTGTCTGTTCAGTTTTGTCCGGTGAAATTTGTGCTTTGATAGCCCTGTGATGGGAACAATTTTGGCATGTTTACTGGAGGAATAACAGCAGATCTGCGTGGATATCAAGTGTTATATGAGGATGAGGGTACGAGATGAAGTCAGAGAGAAGCCAGGTCATATCAGGTAAGATGATGTATAGTTTTGAGATATTAGCTACTCCTGTGTCAGACATTCTGTTCCTGGTTCTCTTATCTGTTCTTTCTTGTATTGAAATCATCACCTCATTTAAAATTTGCTCTTTGGCTTTGTACCTTCAAATGAAAAACAAATCCATTTAACCTGATACTCTCCATGAGCTGGAACTCTTTGTTCCGGTTTAATAATTTTCCAGCAGACTTTGAATATATTTTTTACATTTGAAACTGCTAGTGGTTTTGAAGACCTAGATTTAACCTTTTGATTATATACTATATAAAGATATTCTATTAAATATAAGATAGGAAGGCAAAGGAAAACTTTATTTTTTGTGCATTTCAGGCTGTTTTACATACCTTACTTGGACAACATGGGATTTGACATACTGTCTTCTCAGTCTGGATCCATGAAATGTTTCATTTATCTGTTAAAAGTAAAATGAATAGTAACTTATTTTTAAATTTTCATTGTGGAGAACTTCAAATATAAGTGAAAGTATAGAAAGAAAAATGAACCTGATGTATTCACTAGTCAGCTTCACCAAATATCAATAAATGAACAAATCAGTTTAATTTTACTACTACCCACATCCTAGGAATTAAACAATTACTTAATATCATAAAAAATACATAGTGTTCAAATTTCTCAGGATCTCATTTAAAAAAGAGATGTAATGTGTGTTAAACATGTATTTTTTAAAAGAATTACCTTTATACTGACTCGACTAATTTACGAATATTCTTAAATCAATAAATTGTGTGACAAAGTGAGGCAAAAATATTTGCTTCCTTCCTAACAGTATGAAAGGAAAAAATATTTTTCTGTTATTTTGGAGAAGTAAATTCAAAGGTTCACCTGATAGAGTTTATCTTCCATGTTCAGACTTCTCGTGAACACCAGTGCCACCAAACAGAAGTGTTCCCAGAAGGAGGAAATGTTTCTAATTTATTTTTGTACTTTGGAAGCTCTTTCTTCACATCTGGACTGCAAACCATTTTCCCTGATCTTTCAGTTATGTGCTACTGATGGGTTCAAAGCAGTATACATGGAAATCTCTCAGAGAAATTTTATGTGAGAGTCATTTTCTCATCTGTTCTGGATTTAACCTAGTGGATAATTTATTACAACAGGGTCTTCACAGAGTACAAAATTTGCACTATCCATAGCTTTTTTTTTTCCATAATCATCTTCAATTATATTTTATTTATTTTTTATTTATTTATTTTTTCCATTTATTTGTATTAGTTGGAGACTAATTACTATATTTTATTTTGGCAAATATAGTCTTTCAAAAACAATCACTTATTATTGGAATTGCAGAGATTTAATATATCTTTTTTCTCTGACTCCAAAGCAATTGGAAGTATTCATTTATTCAATAATATCTATTGAAATAAAAGCACAAATTAATTAGATAGATCCATACTTTCTAGGAGATTCAATGAAGAAGAGAGATAATAAGCTTACAAAGAAACAAATATATAAATATGATGATTTGAGATAGTGTTGGGTGATATTGAAAATGCAAAATAACATAATGGAGTGATTCAGGGGCTACTATTTGAATGATAAAATAAGGTCATTTTTAAGACATTGGATTGAGACCTGAAAGATGCAAAGTTGATAAGCAAGGAGAGAAGAATATTCTAGATGGCGTGAACAGCAGGTGATATAATCCCAGATAAAAATGAGATTAGTATTTGAGGGAGAGAGGTAAAGTTGTTGTGACTCAAGTAGAGTGAGTAAGGGACAGTGTGTAAGCTGAGGTTGCCCTGGAAAATAGCAATGCCATTACAGAGAGCCTATTTGGATAAATTTGGATTTGGTAATAAATTTGGATGTTATTCCTAATATAATGAATGGAGGAACCCTGACAACACGGTAACTAAACTTTCCTGTACTTTTCTTCAATTCTCTATTCCAATCTGCCACTCCGGGTGGGTGGGGGGATGGGCAGGTGGGATTGGGTTTTATAGAAGTCCTACAAACAGGAAGGTGACAAGAAACTTTGTTTTCCATGGGTCAGGGAAGAACCTAGAGAATCATCTGAGAGTCCTGTGCAAGGACAGAATCATAACAGGCCCTGGGAAGATTTTAGCTGACAGAGGTTTGTGAATATCCAGGGATAATTTTGACACTGGACCATGAGAGTGTGTTTCCATGGACCAACAGAGGTCAAGAAGGAACTGCGAAGGTGGCTGAAGCTTTTTTGCTCCTGATGCTGGGAGAGTACTGGGTAGAAAGTGGGAAGCTGGAAGACTTCCTCCTGGGCCCTTGGTGAGGGAGGAGGCCTGTTGCCCCAACTTCAGCCTACAGGATTTAAGAACATCTCACCTTCTATCTTGTAGGATTGCCTCCAATAACAAGGCAGTGGCCTGAATACACCAACAAGGAAAAATGATAACACAAATAAGGAAACCCAGAAGCCAGAGAAAGGAAATAACAGATTAGGTGCTCATCAAAACAGAACTACTGGAGGAAACAGCAACCTAAACGATAATGACAAAAAAAGCACACTTGCCAACATTTAGGTAGGTAAAAAAAAGACAATATAGTATTAAGAAGCACACTTTTCAAGTTAAAATATTTAGTAAGTCAATTTTAAAAGATGAGTGTCATTCTTGAGATACAAATACGTGGCCTATAAGGCCAAAAATAATATATACTCTACTTTAAAACAGTAAAATTTAAAAAGAAGAAAACAAAGAGAAACAAAACAAAACACTTAGATCATGATTCCAAAAGTGGATATGAATAATAGAATCTTGAAGAGAGAAAAAATTATAGTAATACAAGTAGTAGGACAAACAGGTTCTGAATTAAAGAAAGATCAAAATCTGCATATTCAAAGAGATAGGCTGAGTTTCAGGCAGATTAGATCTATCAGAGGAATATTTTCAAATTTTAGATACAAAGAAACACTTCTACCAACTTCCATATGGAACCTATGTTGTTGGCCAAAATCTTGGCTTATCTGTCCACTGAAGCTGAATAAAAAAATATGGAGACAGGGTTTGTAGGAAATAGAAAAGTGGCTTTAATTCTCAGCTGGCCGAGAGGGGAATACAGTAAGCTCATGCCTCAACAACTGTGCCCCCCTCCATGAGGAGCATAGGGGCTTATATAGTTGAAGGCTCACAGTCAGAAGTCAGTGATGAAGAACAAATGTGTTAAGATCTTGTCAAAAACAGTCACAGGCTCGTGTCAGTAACCCCGTAATTGAATCTGGCAGTTCAGTGGCTCTGTGGCCTACTTTCTGATATGTAACTGCAAGAGGAAGGATGTTGTAAGGGTAAACAGCAGATACAGGCTGTATTTAGGACAGAGTCAAAGGAAAATAGGTGTGAAGTGTAGCGCCTGCAAAGTTAGGAGGCAGAAAAGCTAATTTAGTTACAGACATGCAAAGTTAGGAGAAGTTAAAGTAAAAAAAATAAAAACTAAAAAACCTAGGAATGTTCTGGCCTGCTCACTGTTCTCTTTATTTTCTTTGATTCCAGGGAAAGGAAAGAAAACAACTCATTCCTCTTTTCTTCCTTGTCATTGCGACAATTAAAATATATTAATAGAAGAAATAGAATCAATTTCATCTGTAACATTTGAAGATGGAAGCTGGTGGAATAATAGCCTCATACCTGAGAGAAAAAACTGACTATTCAACAATCCTATTCCTAATCAGGACATACTCTCTCTTTAAAGAAAGATACCTATGGATACTTGAAATTCCGGTAGTATAGCTTTCACATATCTCAATAGAGAAAAATATATGACTAATGGTTCTAGGAAAGCAAAATCTAAACCAGAATTGGGGTCTTTATAGAGGGGGAGATGAAGAGGAGAGGGACAACAAATCGAGCAATGAAACCTGAGGGGTGTGTGTGAAATACAATGAATGTAAAATTGAAATGCTTGCACCAGAGACAGCGTACTTTAAGAAACAGGCTAACAATACTTTAGCAGTTGCGGTGCTACCTCAGCAAACCTACTTACTAGGAATAGGAAAGGAGGGCAGAAGAGGAGAGGAAGCAATGCTTCAAAGCCCTATCAGTGGGGAGCAGGAATGTGAAGACAGGAGAAACGCGAAAGTATGTCAAAGACCTCCTATTCTTGGATTAGGGCTTAGGTAAGGAAAATAATGTCTTGATAGGGCTAGTAAATTTTTTAATAATAGACAAATATTCATCTAACTGAGTTTCAGGAAAGATAACTATTAACTAAGTACATTGAAATTTTCAAGAAGAAAAACATAGAATTAAAAAAATGAAAATCAGCAAGAATAAGGAAAAGAAACAAAAAACAATACATTATTTACTTAAAGCCAACTGAAGAAATGAAATCAGGTTTATTACCTGCTACAATTAATTAAAATAGATAAAACTTTGTTATTAAAGAATGTATCAAATTGCATTTAAAATTAAAACCTAGTAATCTATTAGTTAAAAAGAATCATACTTGTAAATAAAGGGATAAAAGACTGTTGAAAAGAAGCTATGAGAAAGAGATGCTATACAATTAATGTGGCATGCAATATAGAATACAAAAATAGATCCCAGGTTATATAGGGACTTAGGATACAACAAGGATGGCATTTTGTTTTATTTATTTTTCAAATTAACCTTAAAATTTTATTTGGAAAAATGTAGTTTAAATTAGGGAAGATCTAGGTTTATTTCATGTTTGTACCTGTGTACTCACTGTTTAAAGACCACAGGTTTGAGTTCTAAAACACAGAAATTCTTATATAGTTTATTTTGTATAATTTCCACTATAAGAGAAAAAATGTAATGGTATATTTATGATTTTATATACAGCCTTATCAAATATGTTCCAAGTACAAGGGAACTTCCATTTGACCATTTACTGAAATATGTGTAAATGAAATATGTATAAATACTGATGGATCTTAAACAGACCTATTGCGGTGATCATTTCACAATATATATATACATGGAATCATGTTATGCACCTGGAACCAACACAATGTTGAAAGTGTTAAATATCAGTTACATCTAAAAGAAAGAAAGAACTGAAACCTTTAAAAACTTTGCATGTCTAATGACTGGAAAAATTTTCTACATACTGGATTCTGATTCCATAATACCAAGACGAATTTATCCTCATCTGACATGTACTTCCAGTGTTGATGTTGATGATGCATTCTTCATCATTTTAGGGCCCTGACCCTCTTCCTCATATAACAGTGTTAATTTTCCTATGAGATGCATAAGTTCTAGAAGCTATCTGTGCAGTAAAGAGTAAACTCAGTCTGCATAGGAACTTTGTACATTCCGAAGGAAAAGAGAGACCCTTGAGCGGCTTCTGAAAGATAACCTTTGAACCTTGGATTATCCTGCCTGAGAAGTGTCTTGTAAATCTGAGGCTTTGGGCCACACCAGACTTCAAGTTAACGCAGTGATCTGTGCGGGATGCTTGCTTTTGTTTGCCTGGGGCCCTGGTCAGGCTATATCAGTTTCACCTCTGGAGAGCCTATAGACTAAATAGTTAAGGTCAGTCATGTGGCCACTCCATGCTTATGTGACTGGTGACTGTCCCCCAGCAATTACACTGGATGCCCTAAGACTTGTATGCGATTCACTGTGGGTGTTGGCAGTATTTCATATGTCAAGCATTTTGTGAATGGGCTAGTAATTATATGTAGCTTATGAATTGTTATGATGATTATGCTTAGAACAGTGACAGACACTGTTCTTAAAAAAAAAAAAAAAAAAAGCTATATAAGGGCTTGTTAAATAAAACTAAGGGTTGAGTACTGGAAAGCCAGAGTTTAGAACTTGAAAACACGCATCAAGCATCAGACATGGGATGACAAAGTTAGAGCAAATACCAAAGGGTCAAAAGGCAAAGATCTGGAGCAATAAATAAATAAGCACCCAGAGATACATACAAAATGTGAAGTAGAAGGAAATTTGATTTGGTTCAGGACATAAATCCCAGTTGAAACAAAAGTGCTAGAAGACTGTCTTGTTGGGCTCTGGAGAATCCTATAGAGAAGTAGGATTAGGTATGTGTGCCTGCTCAGTCCCTTTAGTCATGCCCAGCTCTTTGTAACCCTATGGACTATAGCCTACAGTCTCCTCTGTCCATGGGATTCTCCAGGCAAGAATACTGCAGTGTGTTGCTATGCCCTCCTCCAGGGGATCTTCAACCCAGAGATAGAACCTGTCTCCTTTATCTTCTGCATTGCAGGTGGGTTCTTTACCACTGAGCCATTGGGAAAACCCAGGATTAGGTATAGAGCCTGGCAAATAAATCTCTCCTGCCTCTTACACTTCATTCTGTAGAATTTTTTTTTTTTTTTTAATGAAGCAGTGGAAACACTAGTGATTGCTTTGGTGAAGGAAGAATGTTGTGCTTCTCCTTATGAAAGGATAGCATTTTAAATCACAGGGATAGGTTGAATTATTTAATAAGTACTGCCAACTCAACTGGCTCTCTATACTTGAAAAAAAAATTGGGGCTCCTACCTTCTACTAATTCTGGAAGAGGAAATGGCAACCCACTCCAGTATTCTTGTCTGGAGAATGCCATGGACAGAGGAGCCTGGTGGGCTGCAGTCCATGGGATCACAAAGAGTCAGACACGACTGAAGTGACTAAGCATCACCTTGTACTAAATTATTTCTGTGTGGATAAAGACTTAAAAGTAGGGGGGAAAAACTCCCAAGGAAATTGGATACACTTCTTTTCATGGGCTGTGAAGTCCATTTGAATCAAGACCAAAAATTCAAAAAATTAAAATAAAGTCAACATAAGACCACATATATAGTCAGATGGTAAAAAGTACATTTGGGAAGATATTTGCATGTGAATAGTAAGGAAAGTTTTAACATCTATAATTTACAGATTAACAAGAATAAGCAAACCACACATTAGAAAAACTGGACAAAGAAAGTGAACAGGAAATTCACACATGAGAAAGCCCAAATGGTCACCATGTAGAGAAAAAGATTCTCAATCTCATCACTAGTTAGAGAAAATGCAAATTAAATTCACAATAACATATACTTATCAAATTAGCACAAAGTTAAAACTGTGTACCTGTTGCTGGGGTGGGGGGGGTTTGGCAGAGGAAGAGTAGTCAAATACACAACTAGTGGAAGTGTGAATTATTTCAATCCTCTGGAAAACAATCTGGCAATGTTTCTTAAAATTAAAAATTCTCATTTGATTAAGAAATCTCAATCTAGAAACCTATCAAATGTTTATAAATATAAGGATGTATATAGAAGGACAATTTTTACAATGTTGGTTATATTAGTCAAAACCTGAAAACAAAGTAAATAACTAAAAATATGGAGAAAATTGAATATACTGTGCTACATCCATACTGATGAATATTATGCAGACACAGAAAAGAATAAGTTAAACCTCTACATTGACTTGGAGAATATCTGTGAGATATTGCTTAGAAAAGCAAACAAATTTCAGAAGATTGTGTATAATATAAACCCTCTTCAGTAAAATACTGATAAACACTCCTATGGATTTTCTTTTCTATGTAGGCTAATTAATCAAGGAGGAGAATAAGAAAGGATATACACCATTTTGTTGATATGAATTACTCGGAGGTAGAGTTTGGGGATGTATGTAGAGGGAGAGGAAGGAGTGGGAAAAAATAGGGAAAAAAAGCAAAAGGAAGATTGAACTTAAAAAAAAAAATCCATTTATGTGTTTTACCCTCTCCTTCCATTTACATAAGTCTTAATTTTATTTTTTATGTTTGCATCTTTATATAAATATGAAAGAACTTGAACATTTTTGGAGGGTTTTAAAGCTGGTAAGTGATGTGATTTGATTTTCATTTCTAAAGGATCCCTTTAGCTCCTGTGTGAAGGATAGATTGTAGGGAGATTAGATGAAAGCAAAGAAGCCAGTTAGGAGGCAAGTGTAGGAGTTTAGGCAAGAAAAATAATAGGGGCTGCAATTAAGGAGAAAAATACATGTTATGTTTTGTTTTGTTGTTTTGTTAAGTTGTGTTTTGGTGGTGGAGTCAATAGAATGTACTAATTTGTTGACTCAGAAAAGGGTTTCTTTGTTAAGTGTTTAGGTTGAGCAGGTGGGTTTATTTGGTGTTATTTACTGAGAAGTATAAGGCAGGAGGAGAAACAGGTCTTGGGGTAAAGATCTAGAGTTCCCTTTTTGGAGTCATCAGTGTTGTTGGCTTTTAAACAGAAAGTTTGGATGAGAAAGTTAGAGGGAGTACAGAAAGAAAAGACAGGAGAAGATGAAAGGAAGAGGTAAGAAAGAGAAGGGAGGAGGTGGGGATTCTCTGGAAAATGAAGAGGGGACCACCTATATTTAGAGATCTACAGATGATAGTGTGCGTGCATGATGAGTCACTTCAGTTATGTCCAATTCTTTGTGACCCTGTGGACTGTAGCCCACCAGGCTCCTCTGTCCATGAGATTCTCCAGGCAAGAATACTGGAGTGGGTTGCCATGCCCTCCTCCAGGGCATCTTCCCGACCCAGGGATTGAACCCACATCTCTTACAACTTCTACATTGGCAGGTGGGTTCTTTGCCACTAGCATCACCTGGGAAGCCCTACAGATGATAAGGAACCACCCAAGGCCACTGGGAAAAGCAACTAGTGAAGAAGAAGAAAAAATGAAGAAGGAAGTGTCTTGGACACCGAAAAGAGAAAAGGAAGAAGGAAGAAGATAATAATGGGGCTAAACTCAAGTAAGAAGTGATCATCAGGTTTGGCAACAGTGAGGTCTTTGGTGACCTCTGTAAGAATAATTGAATGCGGTAGAGAGAAAGAAATTCTAACTGGACAGGGTTAAAGTGAGAACAGGTGACAAAGAGGTGGAAACAGCACACGAATCTAATTTTTTCAACAAAATTTTACTGAGAAGAGGAGCAGGAAACTGTTGCTGGAGGAGAACCCAGAGTCAAGAGCAACATTTTTAGAAGAGGGTGTGTGAGCTAGCTACTGATCTCTCTGAAGAAAAGACCATGAAATACTGTACTGCACTCTGGAAGAGCAGTATCTTGTTTTCCATAGAAAAGAAAGTGAAAGTGAAAGTCGCTCCGTCGTGTCTAACTCTTTGCTACCCCGTGGACTATACAGTCCATGGAATTCTCTAGGCCAGAATACTGGAGTGGGTAGCCTTTCCCTTCTCCAGGGGATCTTCCCAACCCAAGGATCGAACCTAGGTCTCCCATATTGCCGGTGGATTCTTTACCAAATGAGCCACAAAAGAAAATCCTATGAAAAGAGGGAATAATGCAACTACTTATGTGCTCAGAATAATGCACATGTTGTCGGCTCTCCTAGGCTGCAGAAATCTTTTTGCTGATCTACCTGAGCTATTTCATCACTTTTCTTCTCTCACTCCTTCCTAACCCCTTTCCCCCTGACTTTTTATTTTCCTATTTCCCCAAATATTATTTGAATATGAGGGAACATTTTGGGGCAATTGTACGGGGAGCATACCTGTAGCTACAAAGAAAAGACACAGTGACAAACAAAATTCGTACCACAGATGTGATCTGTAGATATTCAGAGATGGGAGACAACATTTTGAGTTGGAGTGGTTAGTTAATAGTATCCTAGAATTGATAGTAATAAATCCACAGATTCATGGAATTTAAATCTATAAACCAACTTAATTGGTCCTGTTCTTCAAATAAGTAAACAGCATCTTGCTCAAGCTAACTACTTATGTAATAGAGTGATTATGCCAGAAATTCAAGCAATTTTACTTCCTATATTTTCCAGATATCTAGCTGATTGTCCTAACAATACTGAATCTGAAATAACATCTTTATCATAAACTAAAGGATTTTACTGAATTTGTGATTAATTTGCACAGGATTGACATAATTAAAATAAAGTTATGTGTTTTTTACCCTTATTTATTCTTTAGCAGGATTTCATATTTTTATTCATATAGATTGTTTATAATTTGTGTTAGTTTCATTCATGAATATCATATAGATTTTGTTGCTATTAAGTTGAATTTAAAAATAATGTTATATTTTGTTACTTTTGGTAATTAAGAAAAATATTACTTTTTATATGTTGGTCTGGTAATTGGTCACCTTAAAAAATTCTACTGCTGATTCTAATAATTTTTCAACTAAGTCTTTTGAGTATTTTAAGTATACAGAATGCTGTCAGTAAGCTTCTCTGGTGGCTTAACGGTAAAGGATCTGCTTGCTAATGCAGGAGCCACGGGTTCAATCCCTAG